GGGCCCGGGCTGGATTCAAACCCGCCACCTTAGGTGTATGTGGCTGGCGCCTTAGCCGCTTGAGCCACAGGCGCTGAACCTGAATAAATGGTTGAATGAATGCAGAGGGCAGTAGAGAAGAAAGATGGGTTGCTAATGACATCATTTGGAAATCTCACTGTTGGGTGTGGCGGCTCATGGCTATAACCCTAGCACTCTGGGAAGATGAGGCCGGTGGATTACTAGAGCTCAGGAGTTCGAGACCAGCCTGAGACCCTGTCTCTACCAAAAATAGAAAAAATATCTGGGCTTCATGGTGGGTGCCTGTAGTCCCAGCTACTTGGGAGCCTGAGGCAGGAGGATCATTTGAGCATAGGAGCTGGAGGTTGCAGTGAGTTGGGCTGAGGTCATGACATTTATCAGAAAAAAAAAAAAAAAAAGAAAAGAAAAGAAAAGAGATTACTAATCCTCCTTTTCTTCATTCATTCTCTGTTCTTGTTTTATTCATATTAATTAATTGATTATTATAGTTCATATACATTTATCTCTTTATTGTCTGTTTTCGACTATTGGAACATGAGCTTCAAGAGGCAGGGATGTTTTTGTCTGTTTTGTTGGATGCGTATCCCCAGCTCCTAGAATCGCTCCTGGCACCAAATAAACATTAGATCAACATTTATGAAAAAGATGAGAAGTGGCTTGAGTGAGTCTCTGTTTCTTATAACCCAAAGGACCTAACAGCATAAACCCAGCAGCCATGAGGAGAGAAGCAACTTGCTCACAGCTCCAGGTACAGGCAGGAGACACATAGAGTCTACTTCTCTTCAGATGATTTATTTCTGGGGCCTAATTTGAGTCACAGCTGCAGAGAGAGATGGACTCTGGACTTGAGAACAGAAGCTCTAGGGAGACCGAGATGTACTTCCTGCCCTTGTCATTCTGGGGAATTGTCCCCAGGATCCAACTGGAGAGGCAGGGTAAGTCCCCTGCTAGGAAGGGGACATGGAGCTAGGGGCGGGAGGGGTTAATATCCTCAACATCCTGGGGAAGGAACAGGGGTCTGGAAGGATTGCTGGGGCCCCTGCAAGTGGGGGAGGGGGATGCCAGCATGCTGGGTCATGGGATGACTCATGTATTGGCCTGGATGGTGTCATGGATCCACTTGTTGAACTGGCAAAGGTTGGTGTAGACACCTGGTCTGTTGGGCTGGGCACAGGGAAAATCTCCCCAGGACACGAGTCCCTGCAGGGATCCATTGCAGATCACAGGCCCTCCGGAATCACCCTGTGGAGGAGAAAAGAAAGCACAAGGGAAGCAGGGATGTGGTAAGGTGGAAAGGGTCTGAGGCCTCATTCATTGTCTCTACTCCCTGTCCTGGCCTGTCTCCCTCATTGTGTGTCTCTCTGCCTCTCTCAATTTCTCTCTCACGCTCCCCTCTAGACTTTGTGTGCCTTATTTCTCCTACTGGGCTCCCCTTCCTCCCTTCCTCGCTCTTCACCAATCCATCCTGAACTTATTCCTCCCTTTGCAGAAATGCAGTCCTGGGCTCCTGGGCAAGGACTTCTCCACCTGGGTGCTGTGCCATGGTCTGTAGGGGTGCCGAACAGCACCCCTGGCCTCTAAGCACTGGATGCCAGTAATACCCCCGTTCCACCCAGTTGTAATAGGCATTTTTGTCTCTAGGCATTACTGAATGTCCCCTAGGGAGCAGAAGCACCCCCAGTTGAGAACTGCTCCCTTGGACTAATTTGTATTGCTTGCCCTTAGTTCCCTAGAGCTCCCAGATGATTACCTCCCTATAATCATACTCACCGCTCTTTACTGTCATTTCTTTATGTTTATGCAAATTATGAATAATCACACAGCGTCCTGGCATCAATTATAAGGAAGCCTAAGACTTGCCTTTTTCCCCATTGGTAGATATCATTTTGAGCAAATGAGCTTAGTTTCCTGGACCTTTAAATCCCAGTTTTCTTGGGATTGAACTTTTCTCATTATTTTTTGTTTAATATCCCTGCAGAGTTTTTTTTTTTTAGCGACTGTTGGTTAACTGCTCTGAGCCTTGGGTCTTTGTAAAATAAGGCTAATAATAATGGTTAAATGAATTAATGAGTTGATGCCTGTTAACTACTTAAAACAGTGTCCAGTGATTAGTTAACTGCAATTATTATTATGCTATTAACACTAGTGTTGTTATAGTTGTTATTTCTGGTTTGCAGCTTTGAATGGTCATGCCCAGACCACATGCTGGTATACAAAAGCACCTAAAATCCGGGAAAACAAGATACTAACCTTGGCTTCAGAAAGTCTAAACGGTTTAAAATGCTATGATTGAAATTAGACGTGCTTTCATCTTCTGATAAAAATTCTCTCCCAGTCCCCACCCCTATATCCAAGTGCTTAGTAAGGACACAGATGACATTGGGAGACATGGGAAGTTGTTGCAGTTGTCAGGTTTGAGGAATTTGGAGGGAGCTTTTCACAGCCAAAAGCGTGAGACCCAAGTGCTACGTAAGATCGCAGTTTACCGAATACCAAAACTCTGGATGAAAAGTACATGGTGCTATTGGCGAGCTGGTTAACCTACATCCCTCTAGAACTCTTTGGAGCTTGACTACGGGGAGGGTCCTGGTTACTATAACAGTTTATTTTCTGACTTCCTTGAAAGACATAGTTTCCATGAGGACATAGAGAAGCTTCATGCTGGCAATCAGGAAATGTTTCTTGAAAAATTGGCTTCCTCCTACCTCTCCAGGCTCAATTCCTACTGTTTTTCCCTACATCCCTTCCCCCAATACACTGGTTTCCTTCTGTCTTTTGAATCAGTGAGACCCTTCCCTGCCTCAGGGTCTTTGGACATGCTTTTTCTTTTCCCTTCAAGTCCAGGAGTCTTTCTCTTTTTCATCATTCAGTCTCTGCACAAATGCCACCTCCCTGAGGAGACTCCCTTGCTGTTTTGAATATTGCCTCCAATTATTTGCTATCATAAAATCATGTCTTATTTTTCAGTTAACTCTTACCACTCTCTGAAATTACTCTATTTATGCAGCTTCTTGATCATAGACTTTTTGGGTCTTTTTAAAAACCTTTTTATTCCTCTAGCCCTTCTAACAACTTTGTAACTTATCTGCTGGATTAAATATTCTCTTTTTAAAAATGCCTAGCAGAGGTTTCTTTTCGCCTTTCTCAAGACATTTTACTAGCATTTGTTGGAAGCTGTCAAACTACAGATTTTGTTGGAACAAGACACTAAGCACCACATCCCTGAAAATTGCCAAGATGAACGCACAAGATGATCATGTCTACTTTGAAGAGTGTCCCCTTAGATGCAGTGCCCAACCTGCCTGACAATGTAAAACAACCTTGATCTCTCTCTCTAGACCTGTGTTGTCTAATACAGTAGCTGCTGTGAAACATGGCTTGTCCAAATTGAGATGTGCTGCCAGTGTGAAATACAGACTGGCTTTCAAATCCTTAATATGGAAAACAGAAAAGAATACAAACGATCTCATTCGTGATAGTTTTATACTCACTGCATTTTGAAATGATTATATTCGGGATATATTGGGTTAAGTAAACTGTATTATTAAAGTTAATTTCACCTGTTTCCCTTTCTCTCTCTTTTTGTTTTTGTTTTTTTTTTTTTTGAGACAGAATCTTGCTCTAGCACCCAGGCTAGAGGGCTGTGGTGTCAGCCTAGCTGATAGCAACCTCAAACTCTTGAACTCAAGTGATTCTCCTGTCTCAGCCTCCTGAGTAGCTGGGACTTGCAGGTGCTGACTACCTGGTAATTTTTCTATTTTTAGTAGGGATGGGGTCTTGCTCTTGCTCAGGCTGGTCTAGAACTCTCCAGCTCAAAGGATCCTCCTATCTTGGACTCCCAGAGTGCTGGTATTACAGGTGTGAGCCACTGTGCCCAGCCTCTTTCTTTACTTTTTTTAAATGTGGCTACTAGGAAATTTAAAATGACATATTTGAGACCAGCTTGAGCAAGCATGAGACCCCATCTATACTAAAATAATAGAAAAATTAGCCAGGCATTGTGGTAGGTACCTGTAGTCCTAGCTACTCAGGAGGCTGAGGCAAGAGGATCACTTGAATCCAAGAGTTTGAGGTTGCTGTGAGCTATGATGCCACAGCATTTTACCCAGGACGACAGAATGAGACTGTCGTAAAATAAAATAAAATGACATATATAGCTCACGTCCTATTTTCATTGGATATCACTGTTTTAGAATATAAGGCCTGTGAGAACAAGAGTCCTAACTGTTTCAGTCATCTCTAACACTTAGCAGAATTCAAGAAAACCAAGTTGGTGCTCACCTGGCAGGAGTCTCGACCTGCCTCATCACCAGCACAGAACATGGTTTGATCTATGCGTCCTGGGTAGGCCTTCTCACACTTGTCCCGACTTAGCACAGTGATCTTCAAACACTGGAGGACCTTGGGAAAGGTCACTGTCAAACAGGAACACAATAAGAGGTGGAGAAATGAGGGAATGGCAGAGATGGGTGGGTGTCCCTAGACCCTCACCTGAGGGGCTGCTGGTGGTACCCCAGCCAGACACCAAGCAAGTGGTCCCAGCAGGTACACAATGGGAGGAGATGTCGATGGGCTTGACATCCTGAGTGACACGGATTCTTCTGTTCAGTTTGATGAGCATGAGATCATCGGAGTGATCCGGGTAGGAGTAGCCAGGGTGTGGAATGGATTTGATCCCCCAGAACAACTGCTGTCCAGATTGATAAATAGGTGACAGGTTTGGGTGGCCAAGACGGACTCTGAAACCTCTGAAGAACATGGTGCAGATCAGCACCAACCCTGATTCCTACCTATCCCCATTTCCAATGACAATCCCAACTCCACTTTAAACCCAACCCCAATCCACCTTCACCCTTGACCCCAGTCCCAAAGCCAGCTTGGTCTCCAAGCCCACACACCTAACTCACCCCAGTCACATCTCCAAACCTATGCCCATCCTAGCCCCATCTGTAACCCCAAGCCTAATCCTTTCCCTAGGCATGCGTCGATGTATGCATCCCTAACCCCAAATGCAACCCTCCCAAACTCACCCCAAATTCTGATCCCATCTTCAGTTCTACAGCTATTCCCAACCCCAGTGCCACCTTTATATGCACCCCATCCCAGTCCTCACCCACCTTCACTTCTAGAGCTAACCCTAATTCCATTTCCATCCCAAACCAATAACACATGTATTTTCAACCCCAAACCCAACTTTAACCCCAGTTTCACCCTTTACCCACTCAGGAAGGATTGGTGTTTGCATTCCTACCCCCAACTCCAAATCAGCTACCTGCAACTTCATTCTTAACTCCGACCCCAATCCTATCTCCAATGCCACATCTATTTCCAATCCCAATTCTAGCCCTGGTCCTGTCCCAATCCCATCTTCATTCCCATCTCACCCTAATTCTAAAATTAAAAACCTAATCCCATCTCCATTCTTAATCATTCAGTATACGGATGTTTCTAACCTCAAATCCAAGCCATCTCTAACTCCCGGTCCCCGGCCACAACCCTCTCCCCGGGGCAACCTCACCCTACCCCATTCTCCTGTCTAACTTCCCCGACTCCACCTTTCCTGCTCCTTCATCCCCAGTCCATGCCCTCGGACGCCTCAGACTCTCGCCTCCAGAGCCCAGCCCACGCCTCCGTCCCTGACCACTCACTTCTTCCTGCAGTGGGCGGCCGTGAGCAGCCACTGCGGATGCACCAGCGCCGCCCCGCAGTAGAGCTGGTTGGGGCCAAGCAGTAGCGCAGCCTGCCACGGCTGGGAATGCTTGTCGCAATCGGACCCGTTTATGATACGGTTGCTGTCGTTCTCCCGTGTGTCTTCCCTAGGCCCAGCTCCAAGATCCCGGTTCCTCTCAGAGGGTCCAGGAGCAGTGGGATTTTCACAGGAAACATCATTTGCAAGAACAGGCTCTGCGGGCAGAAAGTGGGAGGGCGAGGCTAGGGGCGGATCCTGAACTTGGGGGTGGGGCTTAGGCTCAGGTGGGACCTGCAGCAGGATGTCAGACCTCCTACAGGAGCTTAGGACTGGGATCCGCCAGGACCATAGGGGCGGGGCAAAGACCCCAGAGGCGAAGCCTGGAGAGTGAGAGTGGAACCGCCAAATGGGAAAGAGGTTTAGACTCAAGGACGGAGCCTAATCCCTCAGGTGGGTTACTGGACTCTTACCGGACCTTAGGGATTCTAGGGATTGGCTAGAACTAAGTGAGTGAAACCAGAAGAGGGTAAAATTGGGTACAGAATTCGTGGACAATCTCAGGGGCAAAGGCAAGGCTGTGTGGGTGAAGTCTGGGAATTCTATGGACACCAGGACTTTAGAGAAGGAACTTGGTCTCAAGAAGAGCTTAGTCCTCAGTGACTAAAGATTAGGGGTGGAGACCTCAGAACCCGAAATGGGATTGAGGTTTTGGAATCGACTTGGGCAGGCCAAGGCCAGGGTCACGTGACTCAGTCTATCCTATAAAGAGCCCCGACTTTGGAAAGGGGGCTGGTTTCTAGCTGTTGTCCACAGCACAAGGGGTGGAGCCTAGCCCTAGAATGCAGGGCACGGAGGCGGGGCCTGAGGGATGGGGAGTGGGGGGTCGGTGTAGGAGCCGACTAGATAAAGTATGGCCTGGGGGCGTGGTTGAGGGAAGGGTGGAGTCAGAACTCATGGGCCAAGCTAGGGTTGGGAGGCAGTACCAGAAAAAGGTCTCAACTTGAGAAGCTGCGTGGAGGGGGAGAGCAGGGCTGGTTTGCTGAATTCTCGGACGCATACGCACCTCCTGAATCCTCCTGCCAATACCCCCAAACACACACACACAGACCTGCAAACAGACTCAGATACCCCATTCTGTCATCAGTCCCCCACGTCCCATGTCTATTCACTGGTTCATATTCTTGCCTTGGCGCCCTCTTCATTCAAGAACAAGCTCCAAGGGACCGGTGCACAGCTGCCATCGCTGCCAAGCGCACTCGCAGTTCCGCAGACAGACACGCTTTGTCTCCAGCTAACCGTGCGGGTTTTCGCGTCATACAGGTACAAACGTTTTGGGGAAGTCTTGCAGGATCTCATACAGCCATCCACAGTGTCTTGGCGACATGCACAGCTGCCCAGCATGCATACATGTAGACTACCACATGCCCTCCTGCACACAGGCCCGATGCCATGATGGCAAGGTGAGGCTCAGTGGACGTTTGCTCGCCCATCCCCTGCATGGCACAGTGCAAGTCACCTACCATTCAACTTGACCCAGCCACCATCTCCTGGAGACAGCCACTCCTGCACACTCAATCCCTCCAGACAGGGATGGGGACTCGGGACACACAGCTGCACGGTCACCTGTACAGTAGCATCTACACAGCTTCACACAAACACACAGTCATACAGTCAGGCTTCCACAAGGCCACAGTCACATGCTCACAAATACAGGTGCCCATAATGTTGCAACCAGCCACACCACACAATCACAAAGAGCTAGCTGCAAGCACAGTCACACAGTTTCATGGTGATACAACTTTTGTCCTCCACAATCCTGTGACATAGGGCAGGAACCCCAGTTACCTGCAGCTATACCAAAAGTCAAGTGGCCATATGTGGCTAAACATAGAGTAAGCATTCCTGGTGCCACATACATTCACCCACATGGTTTTATGGCCACCCACAACCTTAAATGCACACCACCATCCTCATCACACAATTATACATACAGCCTCAGCCTCAAATGTCAATTCCATCTGCCACACAGTCAGCTGTTGTGAGAAAAGTTACTCCCTCCCCACAACACACACTGTGGCAATAAAGTGGCCAAATGCAATGGCACAACCACAAATACAGTCAGGTCTCATCTTCATCCTGCCCTGGGGCCACACTCACACTCACACAGCCCTCCAGGGGACAGGCACTCGAGTGCCACAGAGACAGTCACCCACAGTCATCCCACAGTGGTTCTGGTTACCTGTGACCCCCAGTAGCAGGACTATGAGCAGAGCACCCAGCATCCACAGCCGCGGAGGTCCTGCTGTAGCCATGGCCTCAGCACCTAGTTGAGGGTGTCAGAGAGTGGGGAGACCTAGACAATTCTGGGAGCTCTTAACCCACTTCTTCCTCCCCTACCTCATTTCCAGGGGTAGAGAGGAGCCACAAGGATGCTGCCCCACCATGGGTTGGGTACCCAAGTACTTTGGAATTGGGGGAAGAAGACTCTTAGCAGTCAAGGGTGGGAGAGAGAGATGGAGTGCCAGACCTTGGTCACCGCTGTCTCCCTGCCCGTCGCGGAGCCTCCCTCTCCGGCCTCACCTGCCTCTTCCCCAGCCAGGGGGTGGAGGACCTGCTCTCAGCTCAGCTGCTTCTCAGGCCTGCGCCTGCCTGCCACCGCCGCCGCCGCCTCGGCTCTGGGCACCAGGCCTGGGTTATAATCACCCACTGGTCCCTGGGGCGCATTCCCGGGTAGTGAGGCGCCCAGTCCGGCCTTAGCAATCACTCCTCAGGCTCCCCTCACCTCCGCCTTAGAGCATCCCCCACACCCAGTCCAGAATGCCACTCTCCGCCTCCTCTGCACGGAGGATGGGGAGGGGTCTTGGAAGTCAGGCCAGCTCCTCCCCTGCCTCCCCCAGTGCTGTGGGGGATCGGGTTTCACACCAGCTCTGGGTCTCTCTTCTGGGCGTGAGGATTTCTTTCTTTCTTCTCTGTGCCTCTACTCGTTCCACAGCTCTTTGTACCCCTCTTTACACTGTCTTTCCATCTTTGTTTTTTCAGCCTTCTATCCTCCCACCTCTCTGGTACCTCCCAGTCTTTCTGAGCTTCTCTCATATTTGCACCCACTTCCTCACGCAGTGTTTTGCCCCATCTTAGGAGCCCTGTTTCTCTCTTTGTGGGTCCTAAGTGTGTCTCCTTCTTCCTCCCTGTCTCTCTGTGTCTTCCTTTTCATCTGTGTCTCTGTGATTCTTTTTTTTTTTTCTGAGACAGAGTCTCACTATGTCACCCTCAGTAGAGTGCTATGGCGTCACAGCTCACAGCAACTTCAAACTCTTGGGCTTAAGCGATTCTCTTGCCTCAGCCTCCCAAGTAGCTGAGACTATCAGCACCAGCCACCACACCCGGCTATTTTTTAGTTGTAGTTGTCATTGTTATTTGGCAGGCCCGGCCTGGACTGGAACCCACCAGCTCTGGTGTATGTGGCTGGCGCCCTAGCCACTTGAGCTATAGGCGCTGAGTCTGTAATTCTTTTTCAATGCCTCTGAATGATATATTTGTCAGATATATTTTAAAATTCTCAAGCTTTTTATTTTTCTTTATTTCACTTACACTTTTTAAAATACATTTTTTGACTGAGTACAATAGACTGTGCATTTTAAAATCTGACACATATCAAACCATCACCATAATCAAGATCATAGACATACCCATCACCCCCAAAAGCATCTTTCTGACCATTTATGTGTGTGTGAGATTCTCTATAAATCTCTTTATTTACACCTCTGTGTTTTTGTATTTTTTTCCCTCTCTCTCTGCCACGCCTCTTTTTTCTCTGTGACTCTGATTCTTCTCTCTGTCTCTCTCCACCTTGTCCCACATTTTGGGCGGGTTGTGGGGACTTAGGCCACTTTGCAGAGGAATCCCCCAGCCTTCTCCAGCCTACCCCTCCTCCCATACACACACCCTGGAGAAAAAGGCAAGACTCCCACGTGGGGACACCCTCCTCCCCCTGCAGGTGTTGTGGCCCAGCTGGTGTAGCCAGATGTGGGTGAGAGAGCTGAGCAGGGCCACCTATTGATGACAAAGAGGCCAAGAAGCCAGAATAGGGGCAGGAGGATCCTGACCTTTAGAGAAATGGTTTGGGGTAGGGAACCAGAAAGGTGGCTTCCTCCTCCCCAGTCCTGTGTCATCTGAGGCTACCTCTCCTATTCTCCTCTTTCTTTTTTATTTTTGTTTTTTTTAGAGACAGAGTCTCACTCTATCACCCTCAGTAGAGTGCTGTGGTGTCACAGCTCACAGCAACCTCCAACCTCCAACTCCTGGACTTAGGCAATTCTCTTGCCTCAGCCTTCATGCTCGCCAGAACGCCCGGCTATTTTTTGTTTTTGTTGTTGTTGTTTTTGATACAGCACCTCAAGCTTTAGCCCTGGGTAGAGGGCAGTGGTGTCACAGCTCACAACAATCTCCAACTCCTGGGCTTAAGCAATTCTCTTGCCTCAGCCTCCCAAGTAGCTGGGACTACAGGCGCCCACAACACCTGGCTATTTTTTCTGGTTGCAGTTGTCATTGTTGTTTGGCAGGACTGGGCTGGATTCAAACCTGCCAGCTCTGGTGTGTGTGGCTGGCACCTTAGCCGCTTGAGCTACAGGCACTGAGCCTTGTCTTGTTGTTGTTGTTTGGCCAGGACTGAACCCACCACCCTCGATATATGGGGCTGGCGCTGCCCCTGTTCTCTTTATTCCAGCTTTTCTATCTGCCTCCAACTCTCTGCATCTGTCTCTGTCTAGGTCTCTATGTCTCTGTCCCCACTAGAAGCTAATAGCTTAACCATTCCTCTGCAATGTGGCAGACTCCAATCTGTCTGTTTACAAAGTGACAAAGGTGTGTGAAGATGCAGCGCCCTGATCCGGAGAATAGGAGCTGAACTGTTTCTCTTGCATCTATCATCTAGCCCGTGTTAAATGGGAGGTCTCAGAGCCTTGAAGCTGGGTTTAGTACACAGGGAAAAAACCAAAACCCAAACAACAAAAACCTATCCTAACGCTTACTTTGATTATGGGAATTAACATTTCATGCACTCAAGGTATAAGACAAGCAACCTATTTCTTCTTCTTCCTTTTTTTTTTTTTCAGTTCTTGGCCAGGGCTGGCTGGGTTTGAACCTGCCACCTCCAGCATATGGGGCCGGTGCCCTACTTCTTTGAGCCACAGGCGCCACCCAAGCCTATTTCTTCTTCAGTCTCAAGTTTAGTTATAACCCTTTTTATCCTAGATATATCTTAACAGCGGCTCTTATGAAGTCCTTATAATAATGTTGGTTCCATTTACTAAGTTAATTAAATGCCTTCAAACATTTTAAACTACATTTCTAAAACCAACACATCTAATCTTTTTGTTGTTGTTTTTTTAAACAGAGTCTCACCAAGTCACCCTTGGTAGAGCGCCGGGCGCCGAGGTGTTACTGCTCACAGCAACCGCCAACTCTTGGCCTTAAGCAATTCTCTTGCCTCAGCCTCCCAAGTAGCTGGGACTACAGGTGCCTGCTACAACACCCAGCTACAACACCCAGCTACAACGCCCAGCTATTTTGTTGTTGTTGTTGTTGTTGTTGCAGTTGTTGCTGTTTAGCTGGCCCGGGTTGGGTTTGAACCTACCAGCCTCAATGCATATGGCTGGCATCATAACCACTGTGGTACGGGTGCCAAGCCAACACATCTAATCTTTTCTGGAAGTCGTCCAATTTTTAGACAAAACTTCCAGAGCACTGAAGTAAGTTTGTACGTCACACGTATAAATATAGTCGACATTGCATTCTTTCAAATAATCCAGTATTGGATATAAACTTTGTATAGCTACATCTTAAAAATCACAAATCAATTGTTTCAAGCTGAAGTGATAAGGCTGTCCCTACAATAGGTAAAATTCTCTTAGACATACGAGCATCTTAAATGCCAAGTATATAAAGATTCTGCTTTTAAAAAGTTCATACTGACGATTGAGCTTTTAAACAATTCTAGTCTCTATTCTAAAACATAGCAGAATTGGAATAGGGCTTTCATACAGAACAGCAGTTAGGAATCCCTGACATTTAAATCTGGCTTGGCCACCTACTAGCTGTGAGTCTTTGGGCACACCATGGAGCCTCTCTGTGTTCAGTTCCCATAGATGCAAAATGAGAACAGTAATGGTATCTTACCTTCCAGGCTTCTTAGGAGGACCAAGTGAGTTACTATCTGTAAAGCACTTAAAATAGTACCCAAAATGTGTTCATAAGTGTCTCAAAATTTATTATGATTAATTATTGTTCTTGTTATTATAATTATTCTTGTTATCCAGTTTCCTCTTAATTCTGGTCTGGCCAGTCATTGATTGGGTTCCCTCCGGTGGCCCTGGTGAATTTCGTGGCCCTATTTATCATTGATAACTTGATATGATAAATAGGAGGTTGGTGAAGGCGAGCCCAGTCCGTTCACGTGACATCATATTTCCAGCTACTCATTTCCTTCCATTGTGTCCTCTTGGTAAAATTCTACATTGCTTTGATTCTTAAGATCTTAAGATCTTTCTAATGCCCGGATCTAACAATACCCTTCTCTTTCTCCCTGAGGATCAAGTCCAAGTTCCTGTTTCCGGCACTCAATGGCATCATCTTCCACAGACCTACATTTGCAGCCATGTCCCTCATTTCTCCTGCCTCAAACCCTAGCCTCCACCATCCAGGACGATTTGCAGGTGTTCTCATACCTCCAGGCATTTTTACATGTCGTTCCCTTTCTGAGAATGCCATCCCCCCGAACTTCAACTTGTGCTGAACTCAGGTGTCCCTTCTCCAGCCCTCCCAGCTCTCCCCCAAGTTCAACCCTGCACTATCACCTTCACCTTTTCTCCAGCCCCAGCTTCCAGTCTCTCCCCTCTGGTATATCCTGCTACTCCTGCTCACAACCACTCCATGGCTCCCCATTGCCCTCAGGACAAAGTCCTAGCTTAGTCTCTCAAGTTGGTATCTGAGGACTGTCAGCATCTGTCCCCTGTCATCCTCTCCATCATCCTCACACATACAGTGGCCTCCCTACTCTCTGACCTCCCTGCTTTTGCTGCTCCAAAGGGAGTTTAGGAGAGAGCCATCCTGACGGCTAGCACAAGGTGGAGCCCTCTTGCATTCCTTCCTGGAGGGGAAGAGAAATCAAGTTGGGCTGTAGAGGAGAACTGAGAATATCTGGGTTTGGGGGAGATAGAAGTGGAATCAAAGCAAAAAAGCACCACTCACAATAAAATTCACTCTTTATTGAGAACACGGTGAGTCAGGCACTGTGCTATGTATTTCACATATTCAAAACCTTGAATCTTCCAACAACCACTGCCTTATTACAGGGAAAATGGTGCCCTGATCTTTAGCATAAGATTTGTGAAGAATAAGAAGAATAGCATGTGAGTTGTGTACAGGCAGGAGGTCAGAAAACTGGCCTCCAAGAGAGAATGTACATTGAGGTGTGGCGATACCAGGCCTAATGCTTATGGGAAAGCTTCTCTGGATTCCAGAGATCTCTTATGCTGGAGGCAGAGGTCTTGCTTAAGGTCTGAGATTTTGCAAAAACAAGTTGGGGACATTCTGTCTGACACTTTCTATGTTCCCGCTTTTTAGTATTGATGTCGGATAAGTAATTTTTAACTAAGTTTTCCTGCTTCATCATAACAAATACTGACCAAGGTTTGCTCAGGAGGGCTCCTCACTGAGTTCCTCTGTCCCCCGACATGGACTTTGTGTTAACCCTCTACATTCCTTGTGCCAAAATCCTTTCACCTTATGAGGAATATAATATAATATATTATCACTATCCTAATTTTATAGATGAGAAAACCTACACAGTGAAGGAAGTCACTTCCTAAGGCTATATGGATAATAAGTGACAGAGCTGGGATTCCAGACTTGCAGCCTTTCATCTATATGAAGAACCCAAACCCATTGAATAATCAGGGAGGGGAGAGGCTTGGCAGGGATTTTCCTGTATTCTCTTAGTGGTGAAGGAAGACCTTGGCCCAGGTCTGCAATTACCCCTCGTTCACCTCATCATGTGACGATAAAGCTGGGGTGAAATCTGGGAATTTGTGCTCTGTGTCACTGCCTTTATTACGCATCAGGGTCAGATCTGGGCAGGCGGGGATGGAAGGCAAAGTCTTGGTGGGGAGTGTTCTGGAGCCAGCCAGGGCGGGTCATAGGCCAAGAGTTGGATGTCACATGTCTGGGTCAGTTGGCCTGAATGGTTTTTCTGATCCAATTGTTGTATCTACAGACATTGGTGTAGACTCCCGGCTTCTCCTTTGAACCACAGGGGACATTACCCCATGATACAATGCCTCGGAGGCGGTCTCCACATACCAGTGGACCCCCGGAATCACCCTGTGGGAAAGGGGGATACAGTCAGATACAGAAACTTAGATAGAGAGAGAAGGGAAGGGAAGGGAAGGGAAGGGAAGGGAAGGGAAGGGAAGGGAAGGGAGAGAAGACAGCGCCCCTGGGAGAGCTGTGCTTTGCATTATTCAGTTCAGGGACACCTTTCCAGCTCTTGTTCTGAGGACAGTCTTGCCTGTCTGCCCTTTCTTTGTTTCCAACTCTTTGTGTATAATTTTCTATCTCTGTATCTTTCTTCCTCTTGGCTGGTTTCTGCCTTTCCCTCAACACCTTAAGGTCGTTTTGGCATAAAGAGGAGAGACTGGATGGATGATAGTGAGGGAAACTCAAGCTAACAGTATTCGAAGTGTTAAACCTCTTTTAGAATTTGTCTAGCACCTTTTCCAACTAAAACCCCCCATGAAAAAAGTAATATTTGGGAGTGGGGATGGAGCCCACTCTTTCTCTAGCTCGTGTCCATCTCCTCCAGAATATGATCATGTCCAAACAGGACTCAGGGGGCTGCGTCTGAGGAAGGACAGTCCACTCACACCATTTGCCTCTTTACTGCATCTGATTCTTGATCTCTCCATCTCCACCTTCGTCTCTGCATTTCCTTTCTCTTCATATTTGTGTATTCATATCTCTGCATGTCCTCTGCGTGTTGAGTGAGTCTCTCTCCCTTTTCCTGCCTCTCTCCCCGCGTGTTTCGGTTTGTTTTTGTAAAGTTCTGGTTTGATCTATGTCTTTCTCTTCCTGTCTCTGGCTGTGTTTTTGCATTTCTGTCCTTGGCTGCATAACTGGCAGGTCCCGGTTACCTCACCTGGCAGGAATCCTTTCCATACTTCTCATCTCCAGCACACACCATGTTTTGGGTGATCTGCCCGGGGTAGGCACGCTCACACTCATCACGGGGCACCAGGTGGATGTATGCACACTGAATGGTGTCAGGGTAGTCACCTGCCAGCAGAGGAACAGGCCAGGTTCACGCCAGCCCCCACACTTCCCACATCCTGTAAGTCCTCCGTCCATATTGCTTCCTGTTTCCCTTTGGTTTCCCTTTTCTGTTTGTCTCTCTCTCTCTTTCTCTCTCTCTCTCTCTCTCTCTCTCTTTTTTTTTTTTTTTTTGTAGTTTTTGGTCAGGGCTGGGTTTGAACCCACCACCTCCAGCATATGAGGCCAGCGCCCAACTCCTTTGAGCCACAGGCGCTGCCCTTTGTCTCTCATTCCTACAAACCCATTTCCATCATGCCTCACCATTGGGGGTTCTTTCTATGACGCTTCCCTCTCATCGGCCAGCCTTTCTCATGTATTGAGGTGTCTCCACAAGTCCTCATTTCCTATTGGTTTCTCCTTTCCCTTAGGTCCAACTTCCACTTGTCTCTCTTATGCTGATCTCACCTTCAGTAGTACCAGCTGACCTCTTTTTTCCTCTTTTAGACCCTCCTCTGTTGTACCCTTCCTGCTCATTATGACTTTCTTTCTTTTTTCTTTTCTTTTTTGCAGTTTTTGGTCAGGGCCGGGCTTGAACCTGCCACCTCTGGTATATGGAGCTAGCATTATGACTTTCATTGGAACCTTCTTGCCCGTTGATAATTTTGATTGGTCACCCCTTGATCATGGGTCCATTCCTAACTAATCCCACCCTCTTCCATTGGCTCTCCCTTCCTATTGGCCCTTCATCCAATGGTCCAGCACCCTCATTGGTACTTTTCTAACTGGCCCCACCTTCCCTCATTGGTCTCCCTTCCTATTAGCTCTTCATCTAGTGGTTCACCTTTCTTTTCTTCACTTTGTCACGCTTGGTAGAGTGCCATGGCGTCACAGCTCACAGCAACCTCCAACTCCTGGGCTAGGGGATTCTCTTGCCTCAGCCTCCCTAGTAGTTGGGACTACAGGCACCTACCACAATGCCGGCTATTTATTTTTGTTGCAGTTTGGCCAGGGCTGGGTTTGAACCCGCTACCTTCGGTATATGGGGCCAGCACCCTACCCACTGAGCCACAGGTGCTGCCCAGTGGTTCGCCTTTCTAATTGGACCTTCACTCACAGGCTCACCTGCAGTGATCCTTGCTGATCTACCAGAGCCTTTTCTTCCTTTGACCACTTGACCCTTTCCCATTTGTTTCCTTTCCCATTAACGCTGCCCCACTTGCTCTCTCTGTCCAGTCCTGCAGTCGGCTCCCCTGCTCTGTTGGTCTCTTGTCTTCCATTAGTTCTTCCTTCATATTCCTTCCTTGCTCCCCTAATTGGCCTCCCTCCTGACTAATGTCTCCCCACTGACCTTCCCTCTTCACTGGCCCTTTATCGCATGTCCTCTCTTCTATACCTGGTCTACTTTCTCCCATGGCTGTTCATGTGGCCCAACTCCCCCCCCTCCATTGACCTCTTACCCAGGGATAGATACACCGGCCCCTGGTCCTCATCATCAGCCCATCCCACAGCCTATTACCTGTTGTCCCACCTTCACCCTCTGGTCCACCTTTCCCTCCATCCTCCCCCTACTGACCATCCGCTGTCTTGCCCCAGCCCAGGATGTGGCAGCTGGTGTGGTTGGCAGAGCAGTCCCTCTCCAGGAGAAGGGGCTGGATGTGTTCAGAGAGTTTGGCCCGATGTGCCAGGCGCAACAGCATGATGTCCTCGTCATGGGTGGCAGCATCATAGCCAGGGTGGATTATGGCCCGGACAACAGAGCTCTGCTCCTGGGAACTCTCCCTTTGCCGAAGGTTGTGCTTTCCCAGGTAGACTTGAAGATTCCTGGGAAGTAGGAGGGCTGGATCTCACCTGGAGCCCCTGAGCTACAGCTGAGGCTTCAGAGAAGGCTGGGGACTCATGAATCCTCCCACCTGCACCTCCCACTACTTTCCCCAATTCAGTAAAGGGCAAGTCCATCCCTTCAGAATAACCTTGGGGGCTGTTTTTTTTTTTTAAATTTTTTTTAAGACAGAGTCTCACTCTGTCTCCCTTAGTAGAGTGCCAAGGCTTCACAGCTTATAGCAACCTCAAGCTCCTGGGCTCAAGCAATTCTCTTGCCTCAGCCTCCCGAGAAGCTGGGACTACAGGCACCTGCCACAATGCCCAGCATTATTTATTTATTTATTTATTTAGAGACAGAGCCTCAAGCTGTCACCCTTCGTAGAGTGCTGTGGCATCATAGCTCACAGCAATCTCCAACACCTGGGCTCAAGTGATTCTCCTGCCTCCGCCTCCCAAGTAGCTGGGACTACAGGTGCCCACCACAGAGTCTGGCTATTTTTTGTTTGCAGCTGTCATTGTTGTTTGGCAGGCATGGTCTGTATTCGAACCTGCCAGCTCAGGTGTATGTGGCTGGCGCCTTAGCCACTTAAGCCACAGGTGCCAAGTCTGCCCAGCTATTTTTAGAGATGAGGTCTCACTCTGGCTCAGGCTGGTCTCGAATCTGTGAGCTCAGGTAATCCACCCACCTCGGCCTCCCAGAATGCTAGGATTACAGGTGTGAGCCACTGCACCCGGCTGGGGCTGTTCTTGATTTCCTTATTTCATGCCCACATCTACACTCTCCAGGAACCCATTTGGCTCTCCAAAGTCTATCTGGCCACTTTTCACCTCCCCTGCTACTACCATCTTGGCTTGAGCTTCCCTCCTCTGCCTCCAATCTCTCCTCCACAAAGCAGCCAGAGATATTTTGCCAACGTAAGTGAGTCTTATGCCTCCTGTCCTCATATCCTTTCTATGACCCCCATCTCTCCATGGCCCACGAGGTCCTGCAGCCTCTGTCTCCATCACCTCTTAGACATCACCTCCTACCACCCCTCTTTTCCTTCTGTCCCAACCACGTTGGTTTCCTTGTCTTTCTTTGAACACAACAACGGTCTTCTCCTCCCAGGGTCTTTGCATAGCTGTTTCCTCTGCCAGCCACTCCGTCTCTCAGGTATCTGCATAGTTCACTCCCTCACCTCCTTGAAATGTCACCTTCTTAGTGAATCCTTCACAGCTGCCCAATTAAAGTGCAAATACCCACCCCAATAGGCAACTCTGAGCTCCTTCCTCTGCTTTCTTTTCCACCAGAGAATGTATCATCATTATTTGACATGATATATACAGTAGAACCTCCACGATTGACCACCTCCTTAAGTTGGCCTAATTTTCATAAACTGAACATGTACCATATGTATATATGAGTACAGTAGGCCTAGTTCCTTATGGTGACCACCTCTGTATGTTGACCAGTTTGTTACAGTTCCTTAGGTGGTCAACTTACAGAGTGTTCTACTATATTTATTATTAATTATTTACTCATTTTATTGTTTCTCCTTGGATAGCATTGCTATCCACTAAAACTCCCTGCCATGGGGGAGTAATCCCAGGTTTCCCTGAGCCTATGGGAGGCTCTCCTGGGGGTCCTTGAGTTCATAACCCTGAATGACAAGACCCATTTCTCCACAATGAGGTGTGATACCTATTGGTTTCCAAATCCTTGAGTTGTCACTTGCTATTTCTCTGAGCCTCGTTTTCCTCACCGGCAAAATGGTGCCAAGAGTCCCTTGTTATGTGGATTCCAGAAAAGGCATATAAACTGTTTCACTTTGCACCTGGCCTGAAGTTAGCACAAAACACAATGGCAACTGTTGTCAATCTAACTGGTGACTATTGGTGCCCCAGAGGTTAGTCCTGGGCCCTTCACACTCTCTTTCTGTCTTCTTTGGGGATGATCTCATGCAGTCCCGTGGCTTTAAATACTTCTTATTTCCTGATGGAGCCTTCCCTTTCACCTCCAGCTCTGACCTCTCCTCTGTATCCTCTGTATGTTGAGTGAGTCTCTCTCCCTTTTCCTGCCTCTCTCCCCGCGTGTTTCGGTTTGTTTCTGTAAAGTTCTGGTTTGATCTATGCCTTTCTCTTCCTGTCTCTGGCTGTGTTTTTGCATTTCTGTCCTTGGCTGCATAACTGGCGGGTCCTGGTTACCTCACCTGGCAGGAATCCTTTCCATACTTCAAATCTCCGGCACACACCATGTTTTGGGTGACCTGGCACCCCTGCTTGAACATTTCCCAGGTGTCTCAAACCCACTGTGGCTAAAATGAAATGTCAAATGCTCCCCTGCCGACGCTCAACTATTTCTCTTTCCCTCTCTCCTGACTCAGAGAAAGAGATGACAAAAGAACCAGTCGTTCAGGACAAATACCTGGAGGTCACCCTTGCTTTTCTTCTCCTTCCCTCCTGCTCTGTGCCAAGTCCAGCTGACTCAGTTTCAAAATACTGCCTGGGGTATTCATCATCACTCCATCCCCACTGCCACAACTATGGTCCAAGCCGTCCTATTAGAGGACAGCAGCAGCAGCCCCCATGCCCTTGACCATGGAAATCAGATCCTCCAGCTTCCTGATCAAAATCAGCTGGTGGTGTCCTACAGTGCTTAGAATTAAATCCAAACACTCCTATCACACCCGCAGCACACTGGATGATCCTATTTCCCCATTAGAATGTAAATCAGTGAATATGGAAATTTTGCTTTTTTTTTCCCCCTGCTATATCCTTAGGACCTGGCACATATTCAGTACTCCATTAAATACTGGCCAAATGAACCCGGTCATCAGATAGCCTCCGGGGTCTAATTGCATTCACCCTCATTCATGGTGTGAACTTACGGTTTTTTGCAGTGGGCAGCTGTGAGGACCCACAGTGGGTGGATGAGGACCCCGCCGCACAGCAAGTGGCCCGAGGTGTAGAGGGCAGCTTGGTAGGGATGAGGATTATCGCAGGGCCCGCCATGTACCACCTTATCCTGCTCCTCTGCCCCAGCTGAGGGAGAGAGGCTCTGGGTCAGAGAGGAGTTCTGGAGACACCAGCCACATCCCACAAGGCTCCATTCTGATCCCCAAACTTACCCTGTTCTCATCACAAACCCAACCCCATCTCTTCCCCCAAGTTTCAAAACTACCTCTGCCCTTTTCTTCACCTTGATCCTCAGCCCCAAAGCCAAACCCTTCCCTAGACGCCTATCTTTAAGCCTACCTCCTGCCACCTTCTCCGTCTGTCTCCCCTACCTTAACCTAATCCCCAGCCTCTTCATTCTTTCAGAGCCACCCACCCCCTACCCATGTGTAGCCCCATCCCTAATTCCAGTGTCTTCCTTGGCAAACCGCCTGAGGCCAGATGCAAACCTCCCCCATCTGAACTGCAGTCCTCCCCCATCTGAACTGCAAACCTCTCTCATCTGAACTGCAAACTTCCTCCATCTGAACACCATGTCTCCTACCTGTAGCAATCAGAGCCAGTGCCACAATCAGCCTTTTCATGACGGCTCCTGAGAGGGGAAACCACAGCCCTGGTCATTCAATGCCTGGAACCAAAAGGACCCTGCGCCTACTCTGACCCCCCACCGCCGTCCATGGATGCTCCCTGACCTTGACTTCTGCCCTTCCCATCTAGCCTCTTGAATTCTTGTTTCCGCACCTCCTGTCTTTGATCAGAGGGTCCTGAGAAGGGTGATGCCAGAGAAATCAGGAACTATGGCCTGGTGACTCACAGTGAGATTCTGATTAAATCTTTCTATTTGCTTTCCTAGTATCAACGGAGGGTTAGCCTGGGGTGGGGGTGCCTGCTGCTCTTCTCTTTCTGGAGATCGTCCCTCTGCACTGTGGCTCTGCATCTGCCTTGGCAACCTCCCCCCCCCCCATAGGTTCTGGGATGCCCCGGTCTTACCTGATGAAGGCTACTGCCTATGTGGGGTTGGGGAAGGACAGCTTGAGACAGGAAGGCAGAGTCAGAAAGGCAGGAGCTATGGGGGCAGAAGGCTACAAGGGCAGCCTCAGAGCAGCCAGGAGAGGACACGGGACGGCAGGGCCTTGGTTTGCGGGACTGCCAGACAGATGCAGGGCTCCCTGTCCTCCCTGCAGGTTCTGCCCCTAGATGCTCCTGGAACTTCCTTTTAACCCCTGTCTCCACAGGTCCCTGAGCCAGAGGCTGGCCCCGCCCCTTAGTCCTCACTCAGGCTTCCCACACACATTCCTTCTGCCCCCACCGCTCAGATGACCCCTAACCAGGTTTTTAGGGAGGAGAGCTGAGGTCCCTGAGTGCGCTAGGGCCCTGGACTCCTGGTCTGAGGGAAAAGGGGCTGAGGACTTGAACCCTCGGGTCTGGGGGAAGAGGACCTGGGGGTCTGAACTCTAAGGTGTGAGGGAAGAGGGGCTGGTGGCCTGGACCCCTGGGTCTGAGGGAGGAGGGACTGGGCCCTTGCTTGCTTATTTTCCTCTGTCCTTACCCTTCTAGGTATTTGAGAAAGAAAATGTCTCAGGCCTGAATTGCCAGACTCTGGGACCAGCTAATGGTGCCCTAGCCCCCTTGCATCCTCCCACTTCTCTCTGGGAGGGCTCGGGGACCTGCAGGCTTTCACTCCTGGCTCTGGAGCACTTGGGGACTGGGAACCAGCCTGCCCAGGTTCAGTGGGGTTGGGGTGACTCACGCATCTGCCCACGTGTCCTTCTGTGTGTGTTGACTGACGACCTCTGTGTCCCCGTGAGAGAGCAAGCCAGTCAGCTAGGGAGAACGTGTCACCAAACTGGCCCACACCCCTGCCGCAGGCTGGGGAGCAGGTCCCGGCGCTGTGGGGAAAGGGGCTTGGAACAACTGGGCTTTGTCCACCCCCAGTGCCCAGTGCCAGGCTCCCAGCAGCTCCATTTCTCAACCTCTTCCAGGCAGTCGGGCAGGCAGCTGCATCAATAGCTTCCTTTTGTCCCAGTTGTCAGCCCTGTTGCAGCCCTTTGACAGCCCACCTGGCCCTGCCTAGATAGTTCAGAACTCTTGACTGTCCTGGTCTCTCTCCTCACCTCTGCCCACTCCAGAGGTCTCTGGTCCATCTGCTTTGGATTGGGGGCGGGGGGAGGCTCTGTGTCTCTGTGTCTGCCTCTCCCCCTTTCTTTCCCCTTGATACTCTGACTCCCTCTGCTTATGTCTCCCTGGGTCTCCCCCTGCACCCCCTGGACTCCCTGGGTTTATATGTGCACACAGAGGGGACGCAGGTTCTGGGAGCTTCCTGGAGCCACAAGAAGCTCCCAGGGTGTGGAAGTTGAGAACTTAACCATGAGATCAGGACACACAGGGAGACAGAGACTTGAGATAAGCAGCAATCCTGAGAGGGGCACATGTTGTGATGAAATTGGGTTCTGGGAAGCTGCAGAGGAATGAGGCAGATCTGGGGAGGTCCCTTTGAACTCAGGCCTTGAAAGCCACACCAGGTGTGGCCCATGTGGGAAACCGTGGGTGGTGGTTGCTGTGGGCAGGAGGGTGTGAGTGTGTGTGGCCAGGGGAGGAAGAGCAGCAGGGGAGCTGAGATCCCTGGGCATGGGCCATGGGTGTGAGAAGGAGCATGGAGGCTTAGGGGAGTCCACCTCAGGACCTGCTTTGGCCTAGTGTGATGGGTGACCTTTCTCTTTTACTTGCATTAAATCTAATTGTTACCCTAGATTGCTCATTCCCATCCCCCCTGGAATGAGGACCAATTTGGCATTTGGGGCTGATCTCCCTCCCTTGCTGCTGCCCCCAGGCCTTTCACATTCTGTTCCCCACCACCTCAGCATACAACACTCACGTGAGTTTACATTTTCTAATAACCATGATTTTTTTAAAAAAGCAAAAAGATTTTAAGTATTCTTACCACCAAAAAATGAGTATGTGAGGCAATGCATATGTAAAATTTGGTTTGCCATTCCACAATGTATACATACAGATATCAAACATCCTGGTGTACATCAGAAATATATGCAATTTTTACTTGTCAATTAAAAAATAAATCTAAAGGCTCGGCGCCTATAGCTCAACCGGCTAAGGCACCAGCCACGTACACCTAAGGTGGCGGGTTCGAATCCTCAGCCCGGACCCGCCAAACAACAATAATGGCTACAACCAAAAAATAGCCGGGCGTTGTGGCGGGCGCCTGTGGTCCCAGCTACTTGGGAGGCAGAGGCAGGAGACTCGCTTGAGCCCAGGAGTTGGAGGTTGCTGTGAGCTGTAATGCCATGGCACTCTACCCAGGGGGACAGCTTGAGGCTCTGTCTCAAAAAAAAAAAAAAAATAAATAAATAAATAAATAAATCTAAAAACAAAAGAAAGAAATAAGAGGGGTTAGTTCTACTATTCTGTTTAATTCAAATCTATCTAAAATACTATAATATGAAATCAACATAAGAAAATTCATAGACAGATCATTTGCCTTCTGCTATCTGGGCACACTAAGTGTTTGAAATTCCCATGTGTCATCTAATTCAAGGCATCTCAATTGAAACTCATTTCAAGCCATCAAGAGCCTGGGGCCACGAGCAGCCACCATATTGCATACTGCCCAGCGTCACTGTTCAAATGACTTTGTTCTAGTTCCAGGTCTGTATTGACACATGCAGCATATGAAATCTCTGCGGTCCTGGATGAAAACTAACACATAGCCAATAGAACTTCAGCCCACACATGCGAGGATGTGAGTACATAACTGATTATTTCCTAATTCAAGTTAAGTTCTGTTTCAAGTCCCAATTCTGCCTTCTGCAGAAGTAGCTCTAGCTCCTCCTCCATGCCCCTGCTTTTGGGATCATGTCAGCTTTCCCAGGACCATGCTCTGCCCCTTGACCTCTGGGCCTTCTCTCATGCTATTACCTCTTCTTAGAGTGCTTTTCCCACATTTTCCGGTCAACAATTTATCCTTCAAGTCTTTTCTTTGAAGTCACCTCCTCCAGGAAGACTTCCCTGAATACCACCCAACAACCTCCAAATGCTGCTGTTGGTTTAGTCACTCTTGAGTAGGTTTCCAGAGCAGGTACCAGGGCTGATGCAACCCTGTGCCCCAAGTACCTACACAGGACCTGGCCCAGAGGAGGCCTTAGGACAGGAGTGGGAAACCTGCAGTCTTAAGGTCACACATGGCCTTCTAGGTCCTTCAGTGCAGCCTTTTAACTGAATCCAAATTTTATAGAACATATGTTTGTATTTCTATTGGTACATTTTTGTTTGTTTTTTATATTTTTATCTTATTTTTGAAATGACGTATTTAAAATGCCAAAGAACAAAGTAAGTTTAAATGAAATAATCCTCCCAGATTGACTGGCACAATGAGAACATCGGTAAGCAATAAGGGCTGAACTGATGGCTGTTACACTGGTGATTTAGTTCCAACTTCCCCCACCTAATTGGTGCCACGACCACAAGAGGCTGGTTGGTGAGAGTTTGTGGGGGGTAAGTACACTAGTCTGTTATCAGCTTTTGATAATAGTGCACTGTATTTCTGCCTGAAGTGGAATTTGTGGATAGTCGCACAGCCCAGCAGTGCTTTTTTCTTGCTTTGACTCGAGTGCCATGATGTCCTCACAGCTCACCGCAACCTCAAACTCCTGGGCTGAAGCAATTCTCTTGCCTCAGCCCCCCAGGTAGCTGTGACTACTGTAGTACTATTATGGAACTCTTATACGCTGTTGGTGGGACTGCAAACATTGCCATTCCAGCCAACCTCTATGGCCAATAGTACTACTGTCGTCACAGCTACTTGGGGGGCTGAGGCAAGAGAATTGCTTCAGACTATAGCTGTGACGACACCCGGCTAGTTTTTCTATTTTTAGTAGAGACTGGGTCTTGCTCTTACTTGGGGTGGTCTTGAACTTAAGTGACCCCTCGACCTCAGCCTTCCGAAGTGCTAGGGTTACAGGCATAAGCCACCATGCCCAGCCTGACAGTATTTACTTATTTATTTATTTTAATTAAAAATATTACAAGGGTACAAACTTTTGGTTACATGATTTGCTTCTATGCATTTTAGGTCAAAGTCATAAGTGGGCTCTTCACTCAGAATGTGTGCATTGAACCAGTTATGTGTGAATTAACTCGACCCCTCCTCCTCCTCCCTGCCACCTACCTGATTACCATTGAGGTTTACTTCAAATGTGCACATAAGTGTTGATTGAGTCAAACCCACAATGAGATATTACCTAACTCCAGTGAGAATGGCTCTTATCAAAAAGTCCCCAAACAACACATGCTGATACAGACATAGAGAAAGGAACACTTATACGCTGTCGGTGGGACTGCAAACTAGTACAGCCTCTAGGAAAATAGTATGGAGATACCTCAAAGAACTAAAAGTGGACCTACCATTTAATCCAGCAATCCCATTATTTACCCAAAGGAAAAAAAGTCATTTTATCAAATAGACACTTGCACTGAAATGTTTTTAGCAGCACAACTCACAATTGCAAAGATGTGGAAACAACATAAGTGTTCGTCGATATGAGTGGATTCATAAAATGTAGTATATGTACACCATGGAGCATTGCTCAGCCATTAAGA